GTGGGTGGTTGAAAACCGCACTGGGAAACCTAATATCGGAGGGGGATCTCCCTTCTTACTTTCATGTCGAGAGATCTGTAAAACCTATAAAAAGGTATATACCCGGCCGGTGTTGCTTTGAGCGGGCGTTAGGGTTGTTTCATTTGTGCGCCAGTTTCGATACGATTCACGGAGACGGGGCGTATTCCGTTTAATCCCCCCCCGATCGAGGGCGAAAATGGTCTCTCTCGCGTTTTCCCGCCTTTTTCTTGGGTCGAAGTGGTTCGAGTGTCATCGCTAGATAAACGTCTCAAAGAATGGTCAAGAATTCAAAAGGATGCGTCGTTGGTTTTTTGAAATCACCGGGAGGCGGGTGGACGAATTAATTGCGCCCATAAAACGCGAATAAAGGATTCGAAAATGTCCAACGAGGCTTGTCGCTGGGCACTCGTCAATAATATTCGCGTCCCCTCATTCTGGTCTGGTATATCGAACGTTCATTATGTGTCCATCGTGAGTCTGGGATAACAGTTTCGTCGTTTCCATCGACTTTCGATCACCGGCTCGTCGTGGTTTCACCGTTCCCGGCTTGCAAGCATCGATTTTCGATCGGTTCCCTCTCTCTCTCTCTCTCCCTCTCCACGATCGTCCCGTCTCAAAACGGGGACCTTAAAAATCCATTTCGCACGGGCCATTAGGCACACATGTTAACCAAACATCTCCGCCTCTAAAGCAAACTGTGGCCCCGTAGGGTTTTTTCCCGAAAAATCATCGGTTCCGTGTGTCTCGTTCACTTGGAAGCCCCGCCGGAGAAAAACCGTGTTACAGGAAAAGTTGGTCGGGGGTAATTGGGGGTAGGGAGGAGGGGGGGGGGGGTGGGGGTGGTGGAGGAGATGGGAAACCGCGCGTGCCAGACCCGGTGTTATGTTTTCCGCCGTTACTGGCTTGTATTTCGGATAGGGGGATGTTCGCGGTGGCGCTACCCCTTTTCCATTATCCCCTTTAAATTAAATGCTGAATCTTCGCGCGTGGCGTTTCGAATACGTAAAAATGCGCGTCCCGCGAACCACCACCATGTTATTTTATTCCCATCGTGCGTACTTACCGTCCAATAAGACCGATAATCTACCACTGGATTTTTACTTTATTTCATTTGAACGCAAAATTAAAAGAACACAATTTTTTCGAATAAATTTATTTCAATTCTCAACATGGTTTGGAGTCTGTACGTTTGGTTCAACGATGTCGAGAGCTTCTTGATGAGAACTGCTTGAGAACCACTGCTTTATAAATTTAACAAACCGAAACGAGGAATTGGAGCGTTTTCGTACTTCCGTCGTTGGTGTCTGCGGAACAAAGGGCGGTCGCTGGAAAGTTTGAGAACCACTGTTTTGAAGAGCGAGAACCAAGGAACGAAACGTTTCGTAGTTACAAACTATGGGCACAAAGGGAATAAAGCAGAAGCGAGACAAAATGCAGAATAGTGGAACTTTCGTTTCTACGAACCCGCGTCCTTTGCCCTTTGTTTCGCAGAGCTTTGAACAAATAATCGACCGCCCCTCCGACGCGATATAATGATATACCCTCGAAGGAATCTTCGTGCATCCATCTGCCTACACACACGCCTCGGATGAAATTGTCTGTCGAAGTGGTTTACAAATATATTACAATAAGAATGCAATATTCCGGGGTCGGGACTGTATTGGCTATCCCGGAGCCGTCTGATTTTCCCGCTCCCTGCCATCGTCGGCTCAAAGGGATTCCCCGCTTCTTCTCCGCGCGTCACACACTCCTCCTGCACGTCGAATACACTTTGTAGCATCCACGGGAAATATAATTTAGTCGATACATGGGCAGGTCTCTTATGGCGGACGTGTTTCGCCGATATCCAGGCCCGATATCAACTTGCACGGACCAACGATCGCTCGGCAAAATGGTTGCTAGTTCGTTACTGCATTTAAGGAACACCAGCGCCACAGCGGCGGACGCGATGCAACAGAACGCGTCGCGAGTTTGCCCAGTCAATTTCATTAAAAGCTGCAGCATATGTCTCGCTTCTCGTTTTGCAACGCCTTAAAGGCGGACAGTGGATCCGAATCGCAGCGTTGCAGGGGGTCGCGGCGTCCCGGGATCTCTGTCAATATTGTCCCTTCTGCCCTTTTTCACGAGGAACGCGGGGTAGATGCATCGGACGAACTATTGTTTGCACTAGGAATTTTAAAAGCATTAATACACTTTCCAAACACCGACCGGGCCAGTCTGTTAAAAAGAAAGGGAAACAAACTCGTCGAATCGTGCACGGAATCACGTGATTATAGTCGACGACGGGGATCCCGAGGGGCGAAGGGGGAGGGGGCGTTGAAGTGTCAATCAATGGACCGGAGAAGTCAAATATTTGCCCTACCAATTATTCCGCTGACACGCGAGTCGACGAAAGACGAGACTTAGCCTCTATCCAATATCTCTCGTCGAACCACCCCTGCCCACCTCTTTCGGGTTTGCGAATATACGTTTCCTCCAAGGGGGTACGGCGAACGCAATTTATTCTAACGTATAATTTTCCTAATTACATCAAGTGCACGCACAGGCGCGTTACACTTGGCCAGCGAAGGGCCGAAGAGAGAGAAACGATCGATTTTCCGCCCTTCTTCCTCCCCCCATCCGTCCTTTTCGCCTCTGTCATCTTGTTCACGCTTTATGCGTGACGTATTGGGAAAGGGTTGAAGCGACGAGGCAAAGGAAAAAGTTTCGAACATCGACCGACGCTACTTTGCGTCAATTAATACGCGCTAACGTTATTAATTAATGCTGAGCACCCGTGTAACAGAGTGAGAGAGAGAGGGAGGAGAACAAGGAGTCCTCGTCGATCTGGCTCTCGCGTCGTATTCGAACAGGGTTCACCTCCCTGCGTCTTAACTTCGACATCAGAGGCAGCCAGGCCTCGACATTATCTGTAGGAGAGTGCTCGAGAATATTATACGTGCGTGGTATACACCACCCCCTCTCCATCCACCCTCCCCACACTGTCCTATCGAGGGCCAGCTACTTTAACCGTACTCGAGCGTGGCGAGAGTGTCTACAGAGGAAGCGTCCCGCCTAACTGTCCTCGGTGTCGACTACTGCTAATCGAATTATCGATCCCTGTCCCGCCTCTCGAAGGGAATATTAGATTTTCGACGAATTTCAATGCCCGACGCTAGTCGCCGCCGCGACGACACGGGCTTCTTTCATATTCCGCCGCGCTTTGTCGCGCTTCCTATTAACGGATCTCCTCTCGTCCACGATGTCCTTTAAGGACGCCTCCTCTCTTGATAATGGAAAAATTGTACCTCCTACAATACCTGTTTCCGATACGGAGAGAAAGAACGGAAAGAAACAATGAAATTGAGGTTGGAACATTCCGAAGCGAAGAACCCCGTGAGTTCCCGCATTCACCGCCAGAGGGGCACCCGACCGTTCGCCTCTCTCGCAAGTTCTCGCGTTCCTTATTCTCGAAGCACTCTGTATTTAAGCTAGAGTCTAGACGACACGTCAGAATAATAGCACCCTTCCTCGATTACTTTGGTAAAAATTGAAATTCGAGGCCGGAGATTTAGCTCGTACAGCCGGTGGCACGTATTATTTCGCGCAGTGGACGCGGCAGACATTCTATTTCCAGGTGTTCCCAGGTAGTGATAAATCGTGGAAACGTATCCGGGGGCACTTACGAGGTAGCAACATGTATATGAGACATCACGTACGTTCGTTCGAGGCACGTTCCCTGGGCAGACAAGTAGAAAAGAAGGAAAACGGGGTGGCGGATAGAGGGAGACCGGTGTGCGCGCGTGTACGTGTGCGCGCAAAGAAAGAAAATGTCGGGGGGGAAAATTCCAATATGCCTCGCAACTCGAACGGCTGTGCATGGAATGCGTTCGAGTCCTTGATTGTGCTTCGAAAGCATATTTTTCTCGTACTTCCGATATTGCAGCGGCCGAGTTCCTCTCTTTGTAACTGGCTGCGCCATTCGGTCCTCGGCTTCTTCTTCTTCTTCTATCCGCTACTTCTCGTCCGAGACGCGAGCTCGTCTTGGCGCATCTGCTTACACCCCGGAAGATGTATTTTTCTGTGTCGCGAACGGGCACCAGGGCGGAAAAAAAATTGTCTACCGTTGTTGCCGCGGTCGTCGTCGTTTCCTTGCGGGCGACAGTGGCGCGCTCTATCTAGAACGCATTCAACTTCCGCCGATGGGGAACGTATATCATGCGCGCGCGGAAGACACCCATCCAGCTCACTGAATTGCGGCTTTATTGCGGCGAGGCCTGTACCTTGCTTCGAACAACTTCCGTGACGCATCGCGCGCCTAAATATCCGCCGAGAACCGTGCGCCACGAGCTGCTCGTTAGTCAACACGGAATAGAATTATTGAAAACATGTCCCTTTGATAAATCGTATCCGCTAATATGATCATTTTTCTCTTTCCAGGTGATGCATCAGTGCCGCGTCAAGTTTGTGGATCAACCGGCAGGCAAATCGACGGACTTGTCGCCTATAATGCCCGTGTAACTGCACAACCCGACGAAGGAAAACCGATCGCCACCTAGGAAGTTTGATTGGTAGAGGAAACGCGGCGAGATCCAGCATATTTGGGTATTGGTAAATGAGTTTCGGTGTATCGTTCGTGGACGCCCGTTCCACGGCGAGGATCACGTACCCGGTCGGGTACGGCAGATACTAGGGCAGAGACCAGCGTCAAGATAAAGTCAGTGAGAGCGGTCGGCCAGGATGCGCAGGAACGGGTGGTGCCGTTAGTGGTGTACAACAGCTTGTCGGAGGGGTTTCTGGAAGGAGAGGGGGGCCACGCGCACGGCCCCCAAAAGGGCCAGCTGGATGGTCTAGGTTACGAGCGACCATCCTCAGTATCCGTTACTAAGACCGAGGCGGAGGGGAACGGCGGGAGGATCGAATCGTCGAGGGAGGACCTCGGCACCGTGTGTGGTCCAGGTCTCGCGGAGGCGGATGCTGGACAGGTCCTCACGGTGGACGAATCGAGCGTCAGGGAATCGAAGGGCTGCAAAGGGAGGATCGCGTGCAACGTAACGTTGAACGAGACGCCAGCGTTGGTACACCAGTGGCGTCACCAGGAGGTAGCCAGCGTCGCGTTGGATCTGCAGTTGATAGACGGCTCGGAGGTCCGTTCGAAACGGCCGCGGAAGACGTTGCCCGATAGCGGCGAGACGATCGAACGAAGGGGACACTGCCCGGCGCATAGACAGAGAGTACAGTCGGCTGCCGTTTCGAGGCATCAAGCGGAGGGCACGCGAAGGAATTCCAATCGATCGTGCCGGGTTCATGGTCGAAGGCGGGACAGGTCGCGAGGTAAAGCCACGGAAAGACAGAATCAGAATTCGAGGGATTTGACGGCGAATGAGTTCGAGTGCTCAGTCATACGTTTGGAACAGGACCCGATCCTCGAGCCGGTAAGGATCCTCGGTTGCCCGCCCGCTGAGGGGCTCGAGATATCCTCGTTCCTCGAGCCGGCGCCCAATTGCGTCTACCCGGGCATCAACGTCGGTCGGATAGCCAGCGCCGAGGCGGCTTGCTACAGTCTCTACGATCCGAACAATATTCTGCCGAAGAGTCGTGCCGGGAGCATCGCCAAAATCCTCGAGGGGCCCAATCGTGCTGTGAAGGACATTAATCGGAAGGTCTTGGCGATGACACGTGCCATGACGCCGGCTTGGTCGCTGCGTTTGCTAGGTGTCAGCTGCGGTTCCGTGGTCTGCGCCTGGGGACTTTTGCTGGTCCTGTCCGTGCTGGGCGGTGGCGCCTCTCACGGTACCGCCCTCAGTAACTTCGGTCTTGGCAGTTTAGGGGGGACGATGGAGGACATGAACAGTGTTAGATGCCCTTGGTTGTGCACGTGTACCGGTCAAGAAGTCGACTGCTCTCATCGCGGGCTCACGCAGATACCTGGGAACCTGGCCACTTTGCTCCTCGCCGAAAAACTGTAAGCCCATTTTCAGTTCTTTTCTTTCTTCGACAGATTTGAGCCTAGTTTTTTAAGTATTATAACTGCTATTGACCTCTCACAAGGTAAGGATTGCTAGGTTACATCAATTGATATTTACACGCAAATAAGAAATGTTCAATTTACGAATCACGTCTGGGGTTCATTTTAAGAATCATCATAGTTGAGGTATCCGATGACCCATAGCGCCAAGCATTCAACTGCTTCGCAATAAGGGGACCAAACGAGGTCACGCGAGTCGGCGGTTTGCTGAATGAACGTCGACAGTGGGGGAGATTGTAGTCCTTGATTCGAGGGTAAAAATTGTCGCCTGAAAACGGGAATTACTCTATACTTTAATCTATAATACCCCAAGTCGTCTTATCGTTGATCTTCATTGGGATCGACTCCCGATTTGGACTGTAATCATTGAGAAAATCGCTACTTCCGGCGATTTGGCCCGACATTAACACAAGCATAGTGTTTCATAAGCATATCTGTTGAAAGAGATAGGCGAGCCGCGCGACTGTCGCGTTATTACGCGTCTCATTTCCCGCGACGACGAGCGACCGTTTTTGCAAGGCGGATGAAACACAATTGGATCCAAGCTTCGCGGCCCGATAAACTCGTGGCCCGCGCGGCGGCCGCTCTCTCGAACGAATCGAACCGCGACAAGAAGTGTAATTTAAATGAAATTGCTTTCAGTCGAATGTCGATGCGTAGAAAGAGAATTGAACGTCGGTCGTTAAGCACTCGGTCGCTCGCTCACATATTTCTTCGCGGTGGGACGGCCGGAGGAACGCCGGTTTAATAGTTTTGCATTTCCTCGAGTGGCGGGGATTGAAGGGGTGCAATAAAAACGCAACGGTCGACAATAAAACGCGTTACAACGGTCGCGGGAATAAAACGTCAAGGATATCACATCCTCGAAGGCCGCCGTCGTTCCGCGTTTTATCGATGATATCGCGATGGACAGTATTACGTAGCGCGAATGTCCATAATTTGCGACTCGAAAATACCTCAGCCCATGGTGTTGTAAAATCATTGAACGCGGAAGTTCAGCCGCGTTCCTCGGCGTGCAGGTCCGATTTAAGAGCTCCTTATCGAAGATATTTACGACCATATCTTAATCTACTCGTAAAACTGCATCGAAAACGTGCAGTAGAATTTGTTCGTAGGAAGCTTAGTTTTAGTGAAAATTGCGCTTGAAACTGTTTTGGAGCACGCGTGCGGTTGACGGGCTCTCAAGACGGATTTCCTTGAAAACGAAGCGTCCTACGAGAAAAATTTATTCCACGTTTTCGATGCATTTTTTAACGTAGAACCTCCTATGTTGGTTCATTTTTTAATTTACAGTTTAATCGTTAATTTCCTGATATTCTGGTCTTTAATTTAAACAAACTCCTTGAAAATCGCATCGTAGCTTAAGTACCGTGCTTAAAGACTCTCACGATTCAGTCGTTCCACCACAGGCATTCCACGAAACCTTACTCTTGAACATTTCAGTCCCACTCTCTCTCTTTCTCTCTTTCTCGGCGATTTCCCTTACTCCCACAGCGGGAACGAGTAATTATTCCCGTCATTCGACGGCCATAAATTAGAAGGAGAATATCGATGCGCGAGAATTTCACTCGCGACGCGTTGCATCCCCGATAAAAGATCGCGGACGAGTAAAATAATTTATCAAACGAGCAGGGTGCGGGGGGGGAGGTTCCTTTTCTTGTTTTCCTTCGCGGCGATCGAGGTTGCATCGCGGTAAACCCGCTGTAACGGGGACCATTAATGACGATCGATTAGCATACGATTAATATGCCGTCGGCAGGCGAAGGGATACCGCGAATAATTAAATCCTCGAAATACATTATTGCCGACGCGCTGGCACGAAAGCACTGTCGCGAAAGAAACGCAAAAACCTCGACACATGGAATACGTAATTGCCGCTCGAAATGGTTCTTTTCTCGCGTGTCCCTGTACTCGTTCGTTTTAGCGGAGATCGAGGCGTTATCCTCGCACCCCGTCGCTTTTGTTTTGATCGCGTTCCCTTAGATAATAATCATCGCTTTCGAGCGACGATTTTCGACTAATAGTATCGTTCACCCCTTCGCTGTTTACGTTATTAGTTTCAGTTTGAGATTAACATCGTGATGTTTGATATTTCTGGAAATTAAATAGCCTGCACTTTCCGCCTGCCACACGAAGAGCAACTAAACGCAAATAGGGGTTGCGAGGATATCACAAACACACAGACTAAAGAGCGATTAGAATTACGTTTAGATCGGTACAGTAGCATACGGTGTAGGAATTTCGAATTTTCTATTAATATAATATTAAGTGCAAGCGGGATTTACAAACTGGGGAGATTCTTCCTCCAGGGTAATCCTGTTCAAAGTTTGCTGATCCGTTGAGAATCACTGTCCTACCTGTTTGGCCGTAGCAACCCGATGTCAAGATAATTAGGGACTCGAGCGGCCAGATTTCCCTCTTCGTAACCCCATCTAAATCTGCGGTCTGCGGACAGCTAAACAGTCTCGTGTTATACACGAGTGTAGGTACATCGATTGGTAGTGACACGGGCCATCAGAGTTTCCAGCGGATCTCCAGGGGTTGCTATGGTTCGCGCGCGTGCTTCTCCGGTGCGCGATGCGACCCGCAAGTGGCTAGTTTTAACGAAGCCATCCGGCTCTCAGAAGCTGTTGCAATAACTCCGGCCGCGTATCGCGGAAACCCCCGATCTCACTTTTTAACGACGTTTGCCCTCGCCCGGGGAAGTTTGACGAGTGGTACGTGGCGTTCGAACTTTCGTTACGGAACGATCCAGCTGCCAACTAATACGGGTCGTTCTCGTTTTTGCGTACCGGCGTTACAACTTCGGAGCGACTTCGCCGGCAACGACGGTTCCTCGAGAAACGACGGCGCGAAATTACAGTCGCATTCGGAATATTTCGAGCCGCCGGCCATTAATTTATCCTACCGCGTAGAACGTACCCTGTTTATTAACCGTTTGGGCGATGATTTATTGCCGGATCAGAAACACCTGGTCATCCAACGAGCCCATATCGCGCCGTTTAGCTTCTTGCGTCAATCGGGGTTGTTCAAATAAGCATTTGTAGCGATTGGTTTTTCTTACGATACACTCGAGTCCACGGACAAACAGAAGATCGATTATATGTTTTTCCAGTGGCACGAACCCTTTCGGGTAATAGTCTGCAATAGTAATCCGCGGAGGGCGCTTATGATTTTTCGATTAAGCTGCGCAAACAGCACGCGGCAAGGAAAACAATCGTGGCCGGGGCGCGCGAGTGTTCGAGGAAGCCCCGTGTTTTCCCAAGTAACGTTCAGGCGTCGCCCAACGTTTGGCCTACGCCTAACCGAGAAATATGGTCGAAGCGTTTTTCAGCGGCCCGTAAATATCCACGGTGTGCCACGTGGAGGACAGGAGAGCCAGACGATCGATAGCCCCGCGAGCCTGTGTAACTCGATTTTTCCAAGGAGCACCCGTGGAACGAACCCCTTGAAAAGTTGCTCGAAACATTAACTCGAACTCGCCCGGGCGACTCGCCTCGATGCCCTGAAATTGCCTTCCTTTCTTTGAGAACCGACTCGCGCTCCTTCGAGATTCTTCTTGCGAGGGCTTAATAAAATTCATCAGGCGATAAGCAAGCTAATGATCCAAATTAATCCGATTTGCCGCGCTCAAAGGGGGCAACGGTAGATGCGTCGGCCCGGTCGATTATCCCCGGAATGAAAGACTGCTGAAAGGAGAGGCGCCACGGTTCCGCGACACCGCAGCCTCCCGTTCTTTGCTCTTTGGACCCTCGAATTGTAATTAAATTTTTTCGTCGCGATGTCCCGTGACTGCCGACGCGTGAAATCGAGGAACACACGCAGCCCTCCATTCGGATTCCTCGAGTGCAATGTGGTAGCCCGCATAGTTGCTCGCGCGATGTGAAACTGCCGCGCGTCAGCCAGGCTCGGTGTGGAGCCGCGCAAGCTGACAAAATGGCCCTCCGCACGCGTTTTATGTTGCCATTTTCGGCGTCACGTTTCGTACGGTGCGTCGGAGTTGGATAAATGTACGCTACCAAGTAGTAGATACTGAACTTTTATGGAACATCCCCTAATTGACGCTTTTAGGGGTATAGGAACCCAGTCGGTTCTTTCCAAATACCGAATAGTACCAAGTACCACATGTCGAGTACCGTGTGCCTAATATCAAACACTGAACAGTACCACTTGAGTATCGAATACCGAGTACCACACGTGGAATACCGAATAGATACCGGAGTACCATTTACTATATACCACGTGACAGATAGGGACTACTAAATCATGAATATTCGGTACGAGGTATTGTACACTAGGTACAGATTACCAGATACCTTAGTATACAATATAGAATATCAAATACCTAATACCTAATGTCCAATACCGATTAGCGGATATCGAATACCGAGTGCTGGATAGTAGATAATCGACTAGAAAACGTTGCGTACCAAGTATGAAACATTTATGCTATCATTATGAAACTATGCAGTTGGTTTTGTTGTTCGAACGGCTGTTGATCGAGAAATTAGCCTCGACATCGTTGGCGGTGGTCTCGGAGTACCTCGGCGGTTTTCATCTCGTAGTTATTTTCCACGGCCATGTATAATACCCGGGGTGGGCATGGTATATGGTAACCCGTCGGACGGCAGTTGCTGCATTTTGCTGCCGCAGAACCGGGGAAACGCTCGGCTAACCGCAAATATTTTACGCCGCCTTCGAGCGAGTCTCACGTAGGTTCGTTTAGGTGTACGTAGCCGCGAAGCCCCCGCTGTCTCTGGACCTGGCACGCATCCCCGGGCCTGCAGTGTTCGAATTCCTCCCACGTATGCTGTACGAAGTTTGCGAAGGATACGTCTAATCGCGTCGAACGTCCGTGTTGCTTTACCTTCGATTCTTCGCGGAAGAATTTTCCGTTATTTCTCGCTGCACCAGCATTCCTCAAACGCATCGGCTAC